TAAGATTATTTTTTAAAACAGCAGAATAAAATAGATAACACCTTTATTTAAAAAAAAAAACAGGTTTTGCATAGACGCAAGTTGATTTAATATATGCTGATTCATCTCATTAATTAAACAATTTTTATTCATTTAGAGCACTGTTATTATTATATTATTATTATTATTATTACTACTATTTTATTTTTAAATTTTTGTTTTATGTATGGGCCTAGATATAGGCTATGTATATATTTAATAATTAGAAATAATTATAATTTAATTATAAAACATATATAATATAATGTTAACAATATTATAGGCTAGGCTAGACCTAACCAATTATTGATACCATAATCTATAGATAAAAACATCCATTCGATAATTAAACAGCAGCTTTTCGAGTGGCAGTGCCGATAGAAAACTGCAGTGTTTTGGCACTGCGGCAGTGCCGATAGAAAATCGGAGCTTTTTTCGCACTGCGGCAATAATGCCGATAGAAAATAACAGCCTTTTTCGCACTGTGGCAGTGCCGATAGAAAACAGCAGTTTTTTTGGCACTGCGGCAGTGCCGATAGAAAACAGCAGGTTTTTGGCACTGCGGCAGTGCCGATAGAAAACAGCAGCTTTTTTTCGCACTGCGGCTGTGCCGATAGCCTCAGCCGGTTAATAAACACAATGTGGAATATACAGCCGATCTGATCAATGACGAACATGCTTTCATAGGAAACCCATCTTAGTGCTAAGAGATATGATATAATAACATATAATTTCACATATTTCCCGACAATATTTTCGCAAAAACTCTTCATACTTTAAATTCCCCAAGCCTTCTTTTCCTTATTATTGCAAGATCATCCTAATCGCGTCACAAACAAAGAAAGGGATAGAAAAACAAATGACTTCAAAATTCGCTCAAAATCATCATAATATTATAAGCCCACTCTCTCAGTGCATATAATAATTTTTTTTTTAAACAATTTTGATACAGAATTTTATTATTGGGGCCATTTTTACCTACCTGTCATTTTTTACTACATTCCCTTTCTACTGCTGTTTGTCAAGGGCGAGCTTTTGTTAGACTATATAATAATAATAATAATAATTATTATTATTATTATTATTATTATTAAAATATTATTAATAATATTTTAACTGAAATTGAAATACTCGGTATACGGACATAAACCACCCAGGACATAAACCACCCAATTGGAATATACCATTGTTAAAGTGGGTGGGCAACAGGGTGAACAATTTATCTATTTTATCTAGCTTTACAATAGGACTTAATTTGCTATCGTACACTCCTATTATACGCCTTTAATTCATTCATTTCTTCTGACAACATGCATGTTGGTTAGTAATCATTGTAGATTTTAGTAATCACTGTGCTTAAAG